TCAGCACCCCTTGCTGCTCATAATCTGGTGCCTGCCAAGAAAGGAGTCCCCAGAACCGCACTGGGGTCTTGTGCGGCCCAGTTGCTTGTGCCACTGGGGGAGGAGGGTTCTTTGGTTCCCTCCTTAAAGCCTGGAGGCCCAGGGCCTCCAGTGCCAGGCCTGTGGGCAGCCCTGACCCTCAGCTCTCAAGGCACACCCTCCCCTGTGGAGGCCGGGGGAAGGTGGGAGCCTCTAGGTGGGGGAAGAAAGTGAGCTGAGGGGCTGAGACTGGATGGTGCGCTCCTGGCAGAGGCCAGCGCCCCAGGGCAGAAAGGCTCTGCAGAGCCCTGCCATCTGGCCCCGCCCTGGCTCGCTCTGCGTGTGAGCTGCCTGAGGGCCGGGGCACAGGGACGCTGGCTGGCTTGGCATGTGCTCCTCATTCCTAGAGGCCTCCCCAGCGTGGTGCTTGTGCGGGAGGCCACCCCACCTCAGGCCCACCCAGTGCCCCGGATGCCTCGCCCTGGCCTGGTGCAAGACAACCCACCCAGCAGCCCCAGCCCATCGGGGGGAGGCAGGGCTGGTCCCTGGTGGGAGCTGCCCTCCAGGTCCACAGGGGCCTGAGGGTCGTTGGCCCCCAACCTCGATGCAGCGCAGAGGGTGAGGGGGCCTCCTGGGGTCCCAGAGCAGGGGCTAGAGCTGGGCCAGCGGAACCACTGGTCTCCAGAACAGAGGCTGCCCCCCACACTGCCCACCAGTTGCGGGTGGGGGCTGCCTGCACCCTTGCGAATGCTGGGCCTTACCAGGTGTGGGGACCAAACCCCCTCTGGGCAGACTGAGACCGTTGTGGTCCCTCTCCCGTGTCCCCTGCTGCCCTAGCCTTGGGTGCGGCAGGGACTCTGGGAGGAGCCTCTGGGAGTGAGCCCCTAGCCCAGGAAGCTTACGGGGGCTGGTGAACCTCCACGGTGGTGTGGGGTGGGGCAGGGATCCTGTGGAGAGGCGACCAGACATTGCTGGCTGGAGGGCGCCCTGGGGGCCTCCCAGGGATGACCTGTGCCCCCCTTCCCTCTGCCCCACGGCACTGCTGCTCCCGGCATGCTCTGTATTTGCTTGTTGGGTCCTCTGCTGTCTGCTCCCCCACCCCCCACAAGGCCAACCCCACAGCGGTGCCCCGGGGCCTGGAGCAGTGTTGGAACAGAGATGGCACTCGGCGCTTTTGTCCTGTGAATAAAGGAGTGACTGAGTGTGTGACAGTCCTGGTCTGGGGGGGCCCCATCCTGCCAGTGGGCGCTCACAGTTCAGCTGGACACACTGTCCTCGCGGGCCCCTGTCACTGCCGAGCTCCGCCGACAGCGCATATGGGGGAAGAGCGCCCCCTGGCGGGACCCCTGGGGCTCACTGGAACCCCAGCTCTCTGCCAGGCCCCCTGCTCTCCCAGGGTATGGGAAGCCCAGCTCTGTCCCGAAGACCAGGATTCTGTCCCACAGTGGCTACTGCCAGAACTGCCCCTGGGCAGACCCGGCCCCTACGGGTGGACAGGCACCATGCTTCGGGAGCTGCAGCAGGCAGACGGCAGGCCCGGGCCAGCAGTGTCCTTTCTCCGGAGTCCCAGAGCTCCCGGACTGGCTGCCTCACACATACTCCTGCCAGGAAGGTACACAGACGCCCGCCTCGCCCGCCCGTCCCCATCTTTGCCCCCGCTCAGGGTCTGCAAGGCAGAGGGAAGGCGTGGGAGGGCAGAGCCACCGGGAGGTGGCCCCACTGTGTTCCAGAGAGCGGATCCGGGAGGCCCAGGTGAGGGAGCCTGGATCGCTCCCCACGTGCTCTCTGCCCGCTGGAGGCTCAGGCTGGTTTGGCGGTGCTCGCTGCAGGCCATGCAGCCTAGCGGCTCCCTCTCAACCACAGCAGCCCGCTGGGGAGTGTCGGGGTCCCTGCCCTGCGTGTCAGGAGAGCTGGGGCCAGGGGGGCCCAGATGTCCTGGGGTCTGGGGTCTGGGGAGCGGAGGCTGATTCCCCACGCCAGGCGGACAGGCACACACTCCCGCTCATGGACACGCCACAGCGCAGCCCCCAAAGAGCCTTGGCTGAGCTGGGACCCCACTTCTCCAGCCTCATCCAGCCTTAGCAGTGAGGCAACGAGCTAGTTGTCCCCCTGCAGACTGTTTCCTGAGTGGCCTGGTGGCCTGCTGGGCCCTCCACTCTGAGACCCTGACAGTATACAGGAGACATGAGCCCAGAGCACCCGGGGCAGACGAGGGGCAGGAAGGAGCTCAGAGCCTGGGTGCTCATGCCCAGGTAGCACGGGCATGTGGGCACAGCCATCACCATGGGTCCTTCCCTGGGTGGGGTGGCCAACCCAAGGAGGGCCCTCCGGGGCACCCTCTCCGCCACGCAGCAACCCTCCTTCCCTTGTACTCTGAGGGGCCGAAGGGCTTTGGGCTTCTTGCCCAGGCTGGGGACAGCTGTGAGTAGAGGCTGTACCAGTCAGGGGTGGCAGTGGCCAAAGAGAGTGGGGGTGATCTGCACGTGGGCTAATGGGGCTAGGCAGGTGTTGTGGGCAGCCCCGTGGGGTCAGTGAGGGCTGTGTGAAGAAAAACACCTGTTGGGGCCCCAGCCGAACCCTCTCAGAGGCGGGGGTTGGGGGTGGGGAGCACCTGGCCGGGTGGCCTGCAGGGGGTGCCATTGGGCCAGCCTGAGCTTCCAGCAGGAGCCTCCAGCGAATCCAGCCAGGCTGTGGACGGCCGCAACTGCAGGGACAGGTGGGCAGTGGGTAGCAAGCAGCCCAGCCTTGGGCTGCGGTGACAGAGAGCTGCGCACTGGAGCCTTAAACAGACGCTTATTCCTCAGTCCTGGCGGCTGGGTATCTGAGTCCTGGCTGCTTCGGGGTGAGGGCCCACTTCCTGGCCTGCAGACGGCCGCCTGATCACCATGTCCTCATGCAGTGGAGAGAGGACACTGACTCCACGGGACCCCCACCCCTGTCCTCACCTAAGCCTGGTCACCTGGTGCCCTCCGCCGGGGACGCGCACACTCGGTCCGTAACAGTGCGTTGCCCCTACGGGCTGGGGGACCCAGGCCCAGGGCCACGCACCAGGGGGAGGGGCTGGTGACCCTCACCTCCTATGCCCTGGCAGGAGGGGCAGCCTTCTACCTGGGGACAGTCCTGGGGTTGCTCGGGCCACACGGCCTCCACGGCCACTGCTGCCACCTGGCTGGTATTTCCTCCCTCCTGCTCAGCAATGGGGACCCAGAGGTGGCCCCCAGGTCTTTCCCCACATCCCCATCCTGACAGGATGCCCTGTGGCACTGATGGTATTGATGTGCAGAGACTATAGGGGTGCGGAAGTCCAGACCTGTGGCCGCATGCCTGGCTGTGGCCATGTTTACCCATGGAAGACAGTGCCAGGGCCCGCCCAGCCTCACAGCCTGAGGCCCTGGGCTCCAGGATAAACACGCATTCAACCGTACAAGGCTTCTTTGTCCTGGAGAGAGGCTCCCAGCCCAGGGTACTGCCCAGCGGCCTGTGTCCTCAGTGTGGCCAGCTGCCTTGCGTGGCCTCCTCTGGGTTACCTCCTGGCTTGGCTTCAGTGGCCTCAGCAGGGCACAGGGCCCTGGGCAGCTTTGGAGTTGGCTAGGCAGGCTGAGCTGGGCGAGGAGGAGGCCCTGCAGCCTCGGCAGGGCAGCTCCGACATCACAAGGGAAAGGGGGAGCCCTGTGGCCACGTGGCCGCTGCTGACTCTGGGCAGAAGGGGGGCTGCCTACACGCTGCTCCTGCGCCCCGCCACCAGCCCATGACCTCTGGTCCTCGTCTGTGCAGTGGGCCATGGTGGGGTCCTGAAGCCCCTCAGCTTCTAAGTCCTCCTGGTGGGTAGTGAGCCCCATTTTGGGCAGGGTGAGATGTGGGGTCTGTGTGTGAGGGAGTGGGTGGGAAGGGGGTCCCTGTGTAGGGGGGCAGGGGGAAAGGGGTCCCTGTGTGGGGAGGTGGGGAGAGGGTCCCTGCGCAAGGTAAAAAGGGTCCCCAGTGGGGGTGAGGGGTGGGATGGGAGTCCTGTGTGGGGAGGGGGAAGGGGAGAAGGGGTCCCTGGGCAGGGGGTTGGGATGGGGGGTCCCTGTGTAGGGAGGGTGTCTCTGTGCAGGGCACAGGGGAGTGGGGTGGGGGCTCCTGTCCCTGAAGAGGGGAGGGTTTCCTCTGCAGGAGAGAAAGGAATCTTGTGCAGGGGCAGATGGTAGAGGTGCCAGAGCCAGGGGCAGGGCTGACTTAGGGTGGTGACAGGGAGGGATACCAGCTCTGGTGTGAGCTGGAGACACATGTGCCGGGCAGGAGATATTCCTCCTGGAAGGGTCCTGAGCTGTTCTGTGCAGGATTTGCAGTGTCTGGTGTGGCCAGGTGGCCCCATGTCCCTGGCCACACACCCCCTGGCAGCTGTATTGAGCATGGGACCTGGTGGGGGTGGTCCAAGGATGGGGAGGTGCTGGCACTGGAGCACAGGTGGGTGGTGGGGCACAGGGACAGAGGTGGGGATGTTCAGGGGCCAGGTGGCCCCAGCCTGGCCTTTTGACCTGTACCAGGCACTTTCCTCTGGATACCCTGTGAACCAATGTGCCCTCTGCCAGTGGGGCCCTGGGTACCCCTCTGGCCAGGGCCCCCAGTGCCTCCTGAGCAAGGACAGCACGCTGGTCACACCCCTGGGCCATGGCCCACGGCCAGCAGTGACCCTTGGTGACAGCTGGATGTGTCACTGCTGCCTGAAGCAGGCCAGCCCTGGAGCCGGCTGCTCGGGGGCAGGGGACCACACTCTCACGGGGGATGCCCGGAGGCCCACTGCCGGGCAGGCCGCAGCCTGGATGCCTGTGTGGGGACCCCTGCTCCCGGCTGACGAGAAAGCACTCCTTTGCGGGTGGCTCTAGGCCTGGGCATGAGCAACTCATCTGCGGCTTCGTGCGTTTCCTTGGCTGTGACAGTGAGCTGCCAGGTGCCGCTGCGGCCAAGACCCTCACTTTGGTCAAGACCAGGACAGCCCAGAGTTTCAACTTGAGGGAAACTTTATTTAGTCTTGTTAAAGTAATCTAGTTTAAAAACAGGTTGAGGGTAACAGAAAAAAGAACATGGAACCTTCCACAGATAGGTGGGTGGACGGCGGCAGCGCAGGCAGGCTGGGCCCGCGTCAGATCTTCTCCATCTTGGAAATGAGGTCGTCACAGATCCGTGTCAGTTCATCATTCTCTTTAGTCTGAAGGAGAAATATCAAGTCCCTGGGTTTCCTGCCACTCATGTACGGCAGCAACAGGCCCAGCCTGGGCGCGGGGCTCCAGGGACCAGGAGGGCACCCCCACCACTGGCAGTGGGCCTGACCCCTGCCCACCTTCTGCTCCACAGCCGTCTCCAGTGAGTGGATGCGCGTCTGCTCCTTCCGCAGGCTTGCCTGGAAGGCCAGGGCCTCTGCCTGGGCCTTGCTCCGGACCTGGGCGATCTCCTCATTGGCCCTGGGGAGTAGGGTGGGGGTGAGCCCACCAGCCCAGCCCTAGGGGAGCCCCGCCCTGCTGCAGGCTTGTTGAGGGTGCCCTTCTCCGCCCCAACTCACAGCCTGAGTTTCTCCTCCGCGTGGGCTTTCAGCGCCTGGTACCTCTGGCCTTCCTTTTCAATCCTGACTATGTAGTCCTGGACACACTTCTTCAGCGATTCTTCGTTCTTTAAGGAACCAGCAGACATCAACTGCTAACACTGTTTTCTGCTCAAGACTAACCCAGCTTGGCTTTGGGGACCCCAGGGCAAGACGGGACAGTCGGCCCGTGGAGGCTCTCTGGGATTCTAACGGAACAGCAGCCCGGATGAGGAAGGCCACAAAGAAATAGCATTTCCTGTTTTCCTTTTGAAAAAGGCCCCTCTACATGCACCCCTGGCCATCCTCCTCAGCTCGCCTGGCACACACAGCCTACTGTGCCTCTGCCCAGGCACTGCTGAGGTTAGCAGGCCCGGCATTGGGTTCAAGGAGCAGCCTATAGCTGCCATGCCCCGGCAACGGCAGGAGCATTTGGACATACATAGCTGAGACCTTGTACCCCTGGGGGCACCTCTGCACCCAGATACAACACACAAGTTCAGCCACATGCGTCACCCGTGGGGCAGGCCCGCGTGTGGCCCTGGTCACCTTCCTCTCTGTTGAACCCTAGCGCTGGGGCGGCTTGAGCTCCATTTACCCGGCTCAGGAGTCCTGCCAAGCCCTGCGGGCTCTGAGGCCTAGACTGCCATGACACTTTTGGGTATAGAAAGCAGTTATGTTTGGAAGATCATGTTAGAAGGAACTTCAGGCACAATCTCCTCTTCCGCGGAGTGACCCTCAGACTTGCTTCTGCCATGCAGCTGGGGGCAGCTGCTGACCGCCCTGAGGCCCAGGCTGAGACCGCGCGGGCCCAGCTTGTCCTGACTCCAGGGCCAGGGTCTCCACCTCTCAGTGGCACCCTTTGGCACTTCTCCCTTGGCAGGAGGGCTGGGGTCCAGTATGCCCGCACCTGGAGGCTTGGCTGGGCTGCCTGCAGCTCCACCATGGCCTCCCAGTGATAGCCATGCGTGACGGGCACTGCCCCACCATGTGTGCAGCCCCCTGCATCTCCGGGAGGTGACTGGCTCCTTCACCTATCTCCCCTTGCTGAGGTGCTGGCCTGATGCCAAGGAAGGAGGGGGCTGCAGCCAGGGTCAGCTGTGGGGCTGGGGAACCCCGCCCAAGCCTTGTGCCCACAGTGCCCAGCCTTTGCCGGGCAGCCCTGCATGTGTTCTGAGTCCCAGGTGCCCCCCAGCACAGGCCCCCCTTGGAAGGCAGCTGCTGCGCCAGGGGCCGCTGAACACCTTGGCACACCCCTGGCCCTGCAGTCCCCCTGCTCCCTCCCCTCCCCTGGCAGACAGCACCTTGGCCTCCAGCAGGACTGGCCTTGCAGCCTCGGGTGCTGAGCTGTGCTGTCCCACAAGGGATGGCAGTCCCTGACCTCAACAAGGTGAGGGCATGAGGAAGCTCGGCTCAGCCACTGCCCGCTGCCCACCGACCTGGACTGCCTGACCACCCACCGCACGGTAGCCTTCGATCGCCTCCTTCTGCTTCTCAAACCGCTTGAAAAGGTCAGAGAACGACTTCTCCATGGAACTCAGGTCTGTGGCCAGTTGGTCTTTTTCTTTCAGAACCTTCTGGATCTCGGCTTTGGAGAGCTCCTTCTGTTTCTGAGCCTCCTCTTGAGAAGACAAACACAGGCACTAAGAGTCAGAGCAGCAGCCAGCTGCTGGTGCGCGGGAGGCCGTGTGGCAGTGCCCCTCTCCACCCAGCTGTTCTGGAGCTTGAGGCCCAGAAGACGGCTGTTTCCTCAACACACCAGCTCTGGCCCGAACCTGAGGGCATGCAGGGAACCCAGGCCCTGACTGCAGAGGTCTGAGGAAGGGATGGTGCTGAGACCCACAGGCCTGTAACCACCCCGCAGGAACACCTGAGGGGACTCTGCAGTCAATCCCCGCTGTTGGGGGCCCCTGGGAACCGAGTCCCTGACCAGGCCCAGCCCCCCACCTGGACACACCCACCCAGGGCCCGGGACCCAGAAGATGCAGCTCAGACACACGGCCACCTAGCAGTGCGGGGACAGACCAGGCGCAGCACCCATGGAAGGGATTCCGTCTGATCCCTGCTGTGACCTCAGATGCCAGCTCAGGATCAGGACAGCTTTAAGACCATGAGTGCCCGGAACTCACCCATCGCCTGGTACACGATCCCCTCAAACCCGTCCATGATCTTCCTGTGGGAAGGAGACCCATCTGAGTGTGCGCGGTAGGCGGCCCCAAGGCAGAGCCACGCTGCGCGGGCCTTACCCCATCTCCAGGTTCTTGGCGTGCAGGGCCTCACACTGGCTCCGCAGCAGCAGGTTCTCCTTCTGAACTGCCTCCACCTGTACGCACCACATGCCATGTTGGTCTGGGCAGCTTGCCAGCTGGCACCCAACAAGAGCACTGCTGCCCGCCCCAGGCACTGTCAGGGCCCAGCAGGCTCCCTTCTGTGGCAGTTGTGCACAGGGGTCCCATGGGCCTCCAGAAGGCCTTGTTTGTGTGCAGGGGATCTGGGAGAGCAGCCTACTGAGGAGAGGGGCCCAGCAGCCAAGACCATAGCAGGACACAGCTGTGGGCAGAAGTGGCCGGGGTACATTGGGTCACGTGTCACAGGCCCCCTCAGCCCTCCTCAGGAGGGGCTTGGCTGGATCCCTCTCTGGGGGTTTCTGGGGCAGAGGGACTGGGGGCTGAAGGTGCAGCCTGCCGGCTGTCTAGGCCAGGGTGCATGGACAGCAGATCAGACCCACCACACAGACGGGTTCTCTCGGTGAGGCGCTGGGCAGAAACACAGGACTTGGCTAACTGGGTGGCAGGGGCTGTTGGGGAACCAGGGAGCAGATGCCCGAGGTTCTATGCCGGTAGCAGCTGGGGGAAGGCCGGCACAGAGCTGCCACCCTCAGCTCTCAGTGAAGGGCAGCTGGGGCGGTGCACTGGGAAGCCACCCTCCCCTGCCTCATCCTCACTGCCGCATCCAGGTCCCTCTGGCTGTACTGCAGCATGTCCACGATGGGGCCCAGGGGTGGCTGCAGGGGCCCGAGAACACACAGAGGAGGGCACAGCACCTGTGTGGGTGACAGACCAGCTAGGCCACAACTCCTCTGGCACCCTCCCCACCCGTCGCCTGGCATCCTGAAGCCTCCAGATCTCAGGGATGTAAACCTGGGCCCTTCAAATGGCATGCCCAGACAGGCACAGCACTTACGGGGACACCTGCAGCTCCCGGGGAGTCAAGTTCCACCAGCTTCACTTCAGGACCTTCCAAAGAAGGTGCGTCTGCCACCTGCATGCTGAGGCCACAAAACAGAACATAAATGTGCCCACTTTTCTTCCAGAGCAGGGGTCAGCCCAAGTTTTTCCCAAAGGCTCAGAGAATAAACATTTTAGGATTTAAGGGCCACATAGCCCAACTGCTAACATATTGTGATGGCAGCCATATAGATACAGAGCAGGACGGCCGTGGCCATGCCAGGGAACCTCATGTGCACAGCCGGCCAGGGGGCACACCTGACCCAGGCCTACAGGTCTGGCTTATGGCCTGCGTCCTGTGCCCGGCTGCCTGTGCTGCCCACTGTCACAAGGATGGCCACCATTCTGGCTCAGCTCTGCACTGACTGCTCCAGTTCCCCAGGGTCGGCCTGTCAGAGGGTGTCTAGCAGTCTCTGGTTGATGGTGCGCCTGGCCGTGGCCGGCCTCTGGCCCACCCCATGAGCCCAGCATAAGGGGGTTGTACCTGCTGCTCTTGGGGGCTGCAGCTGCCGGCCTCTGAGGGCTGTCCTTCAGAAGTGGGTCAAATTTGAGGTACAAGGACTGCTTCCGCAGGGCTGACTCCTTGAACTGAAGGGGATGGGAAGGTCAGCTTTGCCATTGTCCCTGATGGGTGATGGCCCTGAAGAGGCCCATGGGGGTCTTCTCACTGGACAAAGGTCCCAGCAGAGATCACAACACATCAGGGGACACCTCCCAGGGTGTGACTGCGCCTGGCCACAGAGCAGTGCCTCTAGCAGAGCACCCAGGATAGGACTCCCTGGGACCACAGGGCACTGCTTAGACAGGTGGCTGTGGGCAGACATACACACAGCTGACATGCGGGTAGAAGTGGCATGATTGCTGAGGGATGACCGTGGCATGGGACTATCTAGAAAAAGTCAATTTTTGAGACATATACTTCAGGGAAGGCTGTCTTACTTACTGAGGACATCCCAAACTGCTCCAGGTAATCCACCTCGGCCCCCGTGCCTAAAACTGAGAGGGAGCGTGTCAGCACTGTGGTCACCCCACTGGGATGCGCTCTGGCTTGGTGAGATAGATGGTTACTGTGCAGGGCACTCCAGAGCCTGACTATGCTGTGTGGACAGCGAGCTGCACCCCCTCCCCACTTGTCCTAGGCACCCCTTGCTTAAAAGTGGGGTCTTGGCCCCGGCACCAGCGGCCCTCGGGCTGGCTCACTCTGTGGGGCGGTCTGCCTGCAGTCTGAGTTATCCGTCCCCTTCAGAGTGACAACCAAGTGTCCCTCACAGAGCTGAAGTGCCCAAATTGAGAACTGCTAAAGCTGCCCCAGAAAATTCTTCCTGAAAACATAACCTTTGCTTAAAAAAGCTAAGGGTGCCTCATGCCATTAGGCCAAAGACTTAACGTAAGACCCAAAACTATGAAATTCTTGAGAAAACATAGGGGTTTCACAATATTGGACTTGACAGTGATGTCTTACATTTGATGTGAAAAGCACATGACAAAAGAAAAAATGGACAAACTGGACATCTGCAGACCATGCACCCGATGGAGGATTCTTCTCTGGGCCACACTAGAAACCCTCACAACTCAACCAGTGCGAGGGGCAAAGGTGAGAGTAGCCGTTTCCCCATATACGAGGAGCTTGGTGCGCTCAGCTGTCAGGTGGCAGCTTGGGCACAGCGGGATGGCTGTATCTGAAGGCCAGAGAGCAGGGAGTGCTGGTGGGGGCTGACATGCTGGGCCCTCCCACGTTGCTGTAGGGGAAGTAAAGGTGTGCAGCTGTGGAACAGTTAACAGGTGCCATGTGACTCTCACAGGCACACGCAGACCTGAGAGAAATGAGGACCACAGATCCACAGGAAAACGCACACACGACCACCCAGAGCAGCCTTGCTCCAACAGTGGAAAGGTGGAGGCCCGCCCAAAGGTCCACCTGCTGATGGCTGACCCGAGCTGGCTCCGCCCACAGAGGGGAATAGCGGTTGGCCATAAAGAGGAACAGAGTCCTGCTACCCGCTGTAGCAGGGAGGAACCTCAGACACGTTCTGCTCAGTGAAAAGGGGACCAAACCCCAGAGGTCGTGCGGCTCCTGGGTCCCTGTGGGGTGGCAGGGCTACCATGACAGAGCCCAGCCAGGGGATCTGGTCACCCTGCATGCCCCATGCTCCCCACCCTGGCAGCTCAGCAGCCACGGCTGAGGCCCTACAGGTCGCCAGCTGCCCTTCACAGCAGTCCCACCCTGAGCTGTCACTGACGGCAGCTCAGCTGAGCGACTGCGCCACCTCCAGTGGGGCAGGCACCCCACTGCTTCCCGTGCATCTGTGCACAGCCTCCTTCCGGTCTTTTGCCATTTTCCTGAGTCCATGATTTGCATTTCTACAAGACCTTTTTACTAAAGGTATTTCATCAGTATACCCCTTTTGGGTAAACTAGAAGTTTCTACATGGAGTGCTTAAAGTCAGGGGACAGTTAGGCCTGTGGGACAACCCCCCACAAATGCCGCCAGGCACAGGGCAGACAAGGGGTGACCCGGGGGCGGCATACCCTCGGCCGGGTCTCGGAAGCGCTCCTCCTCTGGGTCCGTGGTGGGCTCTGGCCCCCGCTGAGGAGCAGGGCATGCTGGAGCAGCAGGCAGGGCAGAGGGCTCGCTGCCTGGGCTGTTGGAGGGGGCCAGTGCACCCGGAGAATCCGCGGTCCCCTCCTGGAAGGACAGGTCGTCACCTGGGCAGCTGTTTGGGCATCTCATGCAGTCCCACCCCAACAGTGTGTCCCGCCCAGTCACCAGGGCCTCTGTTCTGACATACGCCCGTGGTGGTATGTGTGCAAACCCACTCTGTACCTCACCCGTCGCTTCTCTGGTCCCTGCTGAGGTTGTCACCAGGGGCATGCCATCCACTGAGGCTTCTGGCACCTGCCTGAGGAGATGGGGTCAGCAGGCCCCCCGCCCCCAGCATGGAGCCGCCACCCACCTTGTGAATGACCCTGAGAAAGCCAGGATGGAGGCAAGGCTGGGGCCCCAGCAGAGCCAGCTCCCCTAGCCCCAACCCCCACCCGCTGAGGACCACAAGCCTTGGAGATTGGCAGGAAGTGTGAGGGGCTCAACTCAACACTAGGCAAAGGGGCTAGTCACCCTTCCTGCTGGCAACCAGGCCAGCAGGCTCTGGGCACCCCATGTTCCCAGAGCGGGGAATGCTAAGGGCACAACAGAGCTGGCTGCTGCACCACAGGCCTCAGGAGCTCCCCTCTGCTGGGCATCTTCCCAGGCCTCCCAGGCTTGTTACAGGTAAGACTCTTGAAGCCCGAGGACAGTGCCCTGGAGAGGGCAGGACAGGTGGGGGAAACTCCTTTCCTGCTGTTTTCCACCTGCTCTGCTGGCTGCCCATACCCTCTTCAGCCTCAGGACTGGGTGGCAATAGCCTGTGGTCTGTGCCACCGAGGCCCCTCCTCGGGCACATAAGGGACTTCTCTGGCCCAGGCTCTCCAGCACACTCTACTAAGCAGATACCCCAACATTGCCACCCTGTACTCACTGGCTCAAAGGCAAGTCCTCTGTGGCCATGGGGCCAACGCTCAGCTGCTTGGCCACAGGCCTGGCTGATCTGCTCTTGGGCTGCTGCGAGGGCCAGGCCTCCCCACCACCTCTGGACAGGTCGAAGCTTGGGTCATCCAGCTTGTCCCAGTCCAGGATGTGAGATCCCCAAGGAGGCAGAACGGGACCCTTGCCTGCCTCTGTGAGGGCCTCTTTCTGCCCTGCTTCTGGCCCTCTCAAAGGGGCTTTGAGGCCAGGTCTCTTCCCCAGGGTCCCTGGTGGGGGTGACCTTTCGCTGGAGGTCTGGTCAGAGAAGTCAAATTCTAGCCTCGCAGGCCCGCCTGGCGAGGGGTCGGCCCTCCGGCCGCTGGCCCCTTCCGCCTGAGAACGTGGAGACATGGCGCCCTCGGCCTCCTGAGGGCTAGCTGGGGCGGTGTTCTCGGGGCCAGAAGCATCCTCAGGGCGGGCTGGGGCTTCGCCAGGCAGGCCTGCGAGGGGCCCTTCTCTGCGTGCCCCCTGAGGGTGAGCACCGTGTGGCAAGGTGGGTGAGGAAGCAGAGATGCAGCCCCCGCCTCCTCCGGCGGCTCTGGGGGTGTCCTCCGGTCTATCCTGGGGTGCCGTTCCAGGAGGGTCTTCCAGGACGTCAGAGGCAGACGTGACGCTCCACTCTGAGGAGGAGGAGTGAGCACTTTCCTCGGAGGATCGTCCAAGGCTCCCAGACATCTGTGCTGGGGATGCCGCTTGGTGTTGAGGACTTCCCAGCATCTGGGAAGAGCCGGAGGGACCCAGGCTAGTCAGGGGAGCTGAGGTGGGTCTGCTGGAACACCTGTCTTCAGAGGCTGGTCTCAAGTGCCCTGGAGGTGGGTTGGCATCAGCCACTGCTGGTTTCTGTTGAATTCCATTGGTTGTTTTGGTGTCCACTTCCTTAGCAAACTGTTGGCTTTTTAGAAAAACAGTTAATGATAAGAAACCTACAGTTTCAATTACATTTTAGTTCACATGATATCATTAGCTAAACACAGGGAAAAACGTTGTGGTGGCTCTTTTCTCAGGGTGACTACCCCAAGTGGGTCCCCAAAAGTCAAAGCCTGGTGGGCCACCTGGGCACAAAGACTTCTGGGGAGACAGAGCAAAAGCCTGACAAATGATCAGTTAGGGTTGTCTGCCCTTTCCCTTGGGGACCACCCTACATGGTCAGGGCCCATCAGAGCACATGAGGGTCAAGCCTTTCACTGGAGAGAGAAAGGCAAGGGTGAGAACACTGCCTTTAGACAGAGCAGGGCCCTCCCAGCCTCCTGCCCCCGCTCAGCTGCCCTGGGGGTGGGAAGCTTCCTGGCCCTCAAAGTATGTTGGACCTTGGCGGCCCGGAGACAGGGCTGAGTGAACAAGTTTCCCTTCCTCTTGCGGCTGTTAGGAAACAGTGATCGACTCTACTCTTGTTGAGATGAATTTCAAAAAGTACAAAAGTGAAGCTGGAAAGTAGTAGCAAGGAAGCTGGGAGGAGGGGCAGATCCAGGTTCCAGGCACTGCCCCTAGGGCATGGGGATGCAGACCCAAGGACGTTTTACTTAAGTGAAGGGCATTTTGGTGGTATTTTGCTTTTACATAGCTTCTCTGCTCATCTGATATCTGTTCAAAACAAAAGGCAAGTCTTATACAATTTAAATCAGTAAAAACCAGAACAAAAATGTGGTAATGAGGCCATTTCCCACTCTGGATAGAGAGGGTCCCTGGAGACCCCAGATGGGTTAGTGCAGCCTAATCTAGGGAGAAGGATCCTCCTTGCCAGACCAAAGTGGGAAAAGGTCAAAGCCAAGTGTTTAAAAATCGAATCCCATAGCCTCTCCCATTCTGCCTAGATTATACAAGACAGTTTCTGTGCCTCTAAAAGTAAGATCTATCTGCAAATTTCCTCCACAGCTTGATGTTGACAATGCAAAGCTGACTTGCAAACAGAAGGGAGACCCCACTGGAATTAAAAAAAACAAAAACAAGACCAGAGAATCCTTCCTCAGAGATGTGGTCAGGACATTTCACGGAACTAGAGGAACAAAAACCAAGACCAATTTGTTGGCGAAGAAAAGGAGTAAGAAACCTCAGCTTCCAAAGCGTTTGATGTGGTGCGCTGGCCTGTGCACTGCTCCAGCTGAGCAGAGACCAGGAGAAACCCAGCCGGATGCAGCAGATAATGAAACAGAACCGTCCTCCACATCTCCACAGATGTCACAAACTGCAGTTTGCACACAGTGCCCCACTTACTTCTCTTTCTGGGTCCAGATTTGATGGGAGTTTTCTAATCCAATGGTGTCATCCAGAGCAAAACAAAGCTCAAATTGGCTGCTCATGCTAGGACTTAAAATCCGGTGTGTCTGTGGGTCCCTCAGAGGTGTCTGAAAAGTTACCTGTTGGGGAGAGGGGAGCACCTGTTCAATGATTCAGGTCTCAACTGCCATCCATGCTGGCAGGCTGCGCCCTGCTACCTCAGTAAGTCACCAGGCACGCAGACCCAGGGTGACCTGACAGACACACAGACCTTCCCCAGGCACAACACGCTTGCCTTCATTGCTTTGGCAGTGCTCTTGGGTGGCACATTTTCTTTCTGTGACAGACGCAGAACAGTAGATCTTCCGGTAAGTTCCGGTGGTAAAAACAGGAAGTCACAGTTTTCTGTACTTTTGTCACCAGTGACATTTTTGTCATTGAAGATCTGCAGACTCATTCTGGAAAGGCAAGCAGAAGGGAGACCCCCCCTAGAATTAAAAAAAAACAAAAACAAAACCACAGAGCATCCTTTCTCAGCGTGAGGACTGGGTTGTCCAGACACACAGACATGACAGGAGTCAGTGCTGCAGAACTGCAGAATGCCCCCTTCGCACACAGGGTCACCGCTCAAGCAGCCTGTCCTCCTCCAGACTGTCCCAATCCTGCTTCGGGGGAGCACAATCTACCAGGTCTAAGAGCTAGAAGGGTCTTTGGCCTGAAGGGCAAAGAGGAAGAATAGTACCCTCAAAACAACTTGAACTTTGTGGGCAAAACTCCTTCAGGAGACAGGTGACAGCCAGTCTGTTAGAAGGCTGGAAGAGACAGCCCAGGTCTCCGCACAGGCCTCTGCTCAAGGCCCTAGAGCTGGAGCAGGCTGCCCTTAGCAGAGAAAAGGGAAGCAGAATGGTGCCATGGCCTACTCTTACCCTCAGGGCTGGGAAATGGGGACCAGAGTAGGACATCAGGAGGGTGGAGGGACACCTAGGGGCATAACAACCCCTTGGGGAATGGAGATGCTTCTACACTGGGGCTTGGAATCTAGAAACACACCAGGGGTCTCCGGTGAGGCCCAGAGCTTCTAGAACAGCCCCACTCCTCTTTCCCAAGGTCTTCATGATGGTTACCAACCTGACATTCCCAATCTAGGAGTCACCTGCCCAGGTACTTGCTGGTGGTAGTGTTCCTAGGGGCTACAGTGTGAAGAGGAGCAAAGTGTGGGTGGCTGGGATAGAGGGAGCAAGGGCAGCCTGGAAAGTAAAGGAGCTCTTGGAAGGCATCGGGGTGGGGGGGGGACGCTGCTATGCAGGACAAGGAGGGGGCCAGGGAGCAGTAGGCAGATGGGAGGCCCTACAACGGCCTGCCAGCACTCAGCCCTGCTTGACCAGCAGGCCCAAACTGTGCGCACGTAAGAGAGGGAAACAGAAGGCAAGGGCGAGTCTTAGGTTCTACCTCAGCAAGTGGGTAAAACGGGGGGCTGGGTGGCTGCGGGACGTGTGAGGGGGGCCTAGGGGACCTATCTGGCAGTGCCTCAACGGGGGAGGCGCGAGAGCAGCCGGGGCTGGAAGGCTGGGAAGGGCCCCCAGCAGGTGCGGCCAGGGTCGCGGATGGCCCCCAGGTGGGGAGCAGAGGAAGCGGCACGAAGCTGCCTGGGGCGCAGGGGCGGCGCGGCGCGGCGGGGCGGGGCTAGAGGCGAGCGTTCCGAGCCAGGGTCACCGGCGGCGCTTTCAGCTGCATGGAGTCACAGGGGAGGCTCTGACGCGAACCTCCGGTGCCAGAGGACGGCACAGAGCCAGTCAGGGTGCAGCCGTCCAGGTATCCGTGTCCCGCCTGCGGCGGCCGGGGCGGTCCGAGGGATGAGGGACAGGCGGGCTTCCCCGCCGCCTACCTGCAGGCCGCTGCAAGGAGCCGAAGGTGCGGAAGCGCCGAGTCCGGGAGTGAGACCGCCCGCCGCCGATTCAAATACCGACGGTTTGCGCCGCGGCCAATCAGCGCGCGGCAGGGGATGTGACGCACGGGACGCTGGCGGCCAATGGGAGGCCTTGCCTCTTGGCCACGTCCCCACGCGCCTGCTGTTCTGCTTCCGGGGCGATGGGCCCGCTGGGCGCGGGGGGCACTGGGAGTGCCGGGGAGCCGCGGCTCGCTGAACTGGCGGAGGGGAGGGGCTGCTTGTTGGCAGGTGGTGTTTACAGGGCTCGTGGTTGCCCTGTGATCTCCGGCTCTGCTGCGGACGCGACAGGGCCGCACGGGAAGACGCTTGAATCGCAGATTCCCCAGCTGTAAAATGGGACCAGGTGCAGTGCCGCCCCCAAGGCGGGTTGTGAGGAGCCGAGCTCTCGCGAGAATTGTGGTGGCCGCTCACTATCTCTGCTCGTGCGGGGCACAGGGACTGCAGCTCCCAGAACCCCCAGCGCCCTCCGGACCTGGACGCCCGGGCCTGTTCTCCGCGTCGGGGCGGCGGACCTCGCCGGCGGCGGTGGCTCGATGGACAGCCCCGAGGTCACCTTCACGCTGGCTTACCTGGTGTTTGCCGTGTGCTTCGTGTTCACGCCCACCGAGTTCCACTCGGCCGGGCTCACGGTGCAGAACCTGCTGTCGGGCTGGCTGGGCAGCGAGGACGCCGCCTTCGTGCCCTACCACCTGCGCCGCACGGCCGCCACGCTGCTGTGCCACTCGCTGCTGCCGCTCGGTGAGCGGCCGGGTCCTTGCCCGGAGTCCTGGGATCCTCCCGTCCTGCTGCTTCCTGGGCGGGCGGAGGCGTCCTGGCGGGGTCGGGGGCTTGCGGCCGAGCTTCGGGACCCCAGAGGTGGCTGGGCCTAGGGTCCCCTCCCTCTGGGGAAGAGGCTGGGAGGGCCGACCAGCATTCCTGGAGAGAAACGACAGAACCGAGAGGCAAAGCTGCGGGCTGTACGCCGTGTGCCCCTGATCGGGGGAGAGGAGGTGCTGAATCGGGCCTCGCGTCCGCTGCCTGGCTGCTCCCAAAAGTGGGAAGGAGGTTGATGGCGTCAGGTCCCACGCAGATTGGAGAAACGCAGGCTCAGAACCCTGGAGGGACGCTTCGCCTAGCCGGGGCAGAGCGTGAACTCTCACGGGGGTAGTGCCCACGAGAGGGGCAGGAGTTAACTGATTTCAACAAAGGGCGCAGAGGGGCCTTCGGAAGGATGTGGCCTTGCCCCAGGCCTTGGAAGGTCGGTGTGGGAGAGACTAGCCGAGGTGAATGATACCCGGTGGGGGTATCATAGGTGCAGGGGCCAGTGAAGGCCTGTGTGTGGCCAGGATGCTCAGATGTTGCCTGACACAGGTATTAGCTGGTCTCTGGGAGGCTGGTTTGTTAGCTGGTTGGATGGGAGATTGCTGAAGAGTGGGGTACGAGGTGGGGGGATCTTTAGTGCACAGGGAACAAAAGCAGAGAGGGCAGGTGGCAGATGTGGAGTTCTGTGGATACAGGGAGGGGTTTGCAGCTGCCAGCAGGGCATTGCAGCTTGGGCTGGTGAGGGGGCTGCCTGCTTCTTGGGAGAAGGCAAGCAGAGGGGAGTCCACGCCAGGATGGAGACGGGGCTGGTGGCCTTGTTGCTTTGGCCAAGCAGTTGCTCTGCCTGGCACTGGGGTAATCATGTAGCTCCCTCCGCCTGAGGACCCAGCACCTGTGTGGGGCCCCAGATGAGGAAAGTGCCGCGTAGAGCCTGGGCTCACATGAGGGTGTGTGCTGGGCTTCTGCCCAGGGAACTAAGGATCCCCACAGCTTTTGGGAGCTCCTCCAACTGTACCCGCCCAGCAGCCTGAGAGAGGCTGGGCCACCATCATCCTACCACAAGCAGGGAAACCAGAAATGAGGCAGCCAGTGACTCACCAAGGCCACATCCAGAGGAGATGGTGGAGTCTGGCCTAGTGGCCAGACACTGGGCATTTCCCCCCCCCCCCGCCCCCCCGACTTGGTTGGGAAAGCTTTGAAACCTTAGGAACATGTTATTTATTGTTATGTAACAAATTATCTCAAAGCACAGTGATTCGATCAATAGCAGCACATGTTTACTATTTTGCAACTTCAGCTCTGCCTCATGGTCCCTCTCTAGTACATTCACTATGATGGGCAGAGTGGTCCCGTGTGGCCAGTAGGGGCCCTGGAGCAGTACCTGCAGTGGGGCTGGGGGGTTGTGGCTGCCTAAGTCAACACTGAGTTCTGACAGATTGACAAGTGTGCCACAGGGGCACCAAGTGCCATGTGATTGTGACAGACACGTGGGTGATGGAGGAGCCAGTGACAATGCACTGTGCCCCTGTCATTCTTTATTATTTGGTACATAATATTGGAGTTCTGGGATGGGCCATGCTTTGGAGGCCAAGGAGCCAATATCTGGCCTGGGGAGGCCAGTGGGCAACTCTGCATTGGGTGACGTCAGATTCTTGTATTCATGTTTGCCTTTCCAGGTTTTTCTAGTTTTTTGGGTACTCTCATAGTATTTGTGTAAACTAATAGAGTAGATTAAAAACTTTTTCTCTTCAGTATTGTGTTGCTGCCGTGGCCAAAAGTTGAGCTGGGCTGGCCACAGAGGCAGGTGAGGTGCACCTGCCCTGGGGTACTACAACCTTGGCGTGGGGGCTGACTAGGGCAGAAGGGGCCAGGCTTAGGGCTGGGGACAAGAGGAAGTGCCCCTCTCTGAGGCACAGGGGCAGCTCTGTGGTCCTTGAAGGGCACTAATGGGGAGGACAGTGATCTCTGCTGAGGCTCACCCTATCCCTTGTAGGCTACTACGTGGGCATGTGCTTTGCAGCTTCTGAAAAGCGGCTCTACTCCCCCAGCCAGGCCCCAGATGCCTGGTGGCTCTTCCTTCTGCTGGCAGTGACCGTGCCCACAATTGCCTGCACCCTGATCTACTACTGGTCCTGGGACCGGTGGGCCCACCACCCTCTGGCCCGCACTCTGGCGCTCTATGCCCTCCCTCAGTCGGGCTGGCAAGCTGTTGCTGCTTCTGTCAACACTGAGTTCCGGCGGATTGACAAGTTTGCTACAGGGGCACCAGGTGCCCGTGTGATTGTGACAGACACGTGGGTGATGAAGGTGACCACATACCATGTGCACGTGGCCCAGCAGCAGGACGTGCATCTGACGGTGACAGAGTCGCAGCAGCACGAGCTCTCACCTGACTCACACCTGCCTGTGCAACTCCTCACCATCCGAGTAGCCAGTGCCAGCCCTACTGTGCAGGCCTTTAACATCCGGTAGGTGTGCCCAGGGAGGAGCTCATCAGAGGGCACGTGCCCAGCCAGCACCCAGGTTCCAGTCCTGTGCCCGTCTGGCAGGTGGCGAAGGGCACGTGCCAGCTGGCCTGCCTGGGCCATGCCTGGGGCCTGAACCTGCTGCGGGCCAGGGGATCTGTGTCTCAGCTTTCATCCTGTCCTCCCTGAGTCCCATCGGGGTGGGTGGGTGGTGCTGAGCCTGTGGGCTCTGGCCTCAGGGCCATCTTTGCTAGCTGGTCTTGTCAGGCAGCTCAGCTGTGCCCAAGCCCACATTCTGTATGGTTGTGGAGGCATGGCCACCCTCGGGGTGCAGCCTGGGCATCCCCACTGGGAATAAGCAGCCCTGTCCTGCAGAAGGGTGTCACCTGGTGGCCCTGGTGCAGCAGCCCCCGCCTCATGCAGGCTGAACTCCACGGAGTATGGCGAGCTGTGTGAGAAGCTTCGTGCACCCATCCGCAGTGCAGCCAGCGTGGTCATCCTCCAGAGCCTCGGCGACCTGTTCCTGGAGACGTTTGCTTCTTTGGTGGAGGCCAACCCGGCCTACTCAGTCCCCAGCAGCCAGGTGGGGGCTGGCAGCTTCCCACAACTGAGCCTCCATGGTGTCCAGGGTCGGGGAGGTGGGCGGCACAGCTGGCCTCCCTGTGACCCTCTGGGCCTGCCCACAGGAGCTGGAGGTGTGCATCGGCTGTATGCAGACGCCTGCCAGTGTGAAGCTGGTGAAGACCTGCCAGGAGGCGGCCGAGGGCGAGTGCCAGCAGTGTTACTGCCGCCCCATGTGGTGTCTCACCTGCATGGGCAAGTGGTTTGCCAGCCGCCAGGACCCACAGCACCCCGACACCTGGCTGGCCAGCCGTGTGCCCTGCCCCACCTGTCGTGCACTCTTTTGCATCCTGGATGTGTGCGCTGTGCGCTGAGGGCTAGTCCTGCTGGGCAGGGTGAGGGAGTGGCCCTGAGTCCCCACCAGCCCTGCCAAGGACCCCACAGCCACTTGGGGAGCAGTCTGCCTCCAGGCTCTGGGAGGGGCTGTCAGCCAGGCCTCTTCACCAGCTTGATGAGACTTGGGAGGGGGAGGGCCTTTGTTTAGGAAGGAATCTCTGCTGAAGTTCCTGCGGAAAGGGTCTTCAGCACCTCTGTTGTGTCTGCGCCCCATTCATCCCCTTAGGGGTGTGTGCTGGACGAGGAGAACACATTGGTCCCATCTCCAGAGCATTCCAGGGGCTCCTGAGCTGTTCTGGAAGACTTTGGTCTGCCCCAGATGGTCCTATTCTGGGCTATTTGCCTTAATTTTATGGAGCACACCTGTCCCTTAGTTACACCCAGACCCAGGTTCACCTAAAAGTGGCTGTGGACTGTCTGCCCCCATCCTTAAGATACTGCCCCTCCACCCCCCAGCTGCTCTGAGACTCCAGGGCTGCCAGTCCAGGGTGTTCCTGGGTGGGGTGGTCTCTGCCTTCTACCTCCCTACCTGGGGAGACCCTGGGCTTCCCATCAGGCAGGGTGAGGGGCTGGCTGCTCCCAGCGTCTGTTCCTTTAGTTCTGTGCTTGGGGCCACCCACTCCTCTGGAGGGGCACCCATGTTCCTTTTGCTGCCTCTCTAAGTCCAAGGAGGGGCAAGCCTCAGACTCTCGGGGTGTGTGTGACGGGGACTGAGCTGAAGACACAGTGACATCCTACCTACAGACAAGCCTATCAGTGCAGCACACAGCTGACTACAGTCCCATAAGGGAGCCTGTCCAGGGGTCAAGGTGGTGATGGATGTCTTCCCAGTGCCTGGTGCACAGGTAGGAGGGGAGTGTCAGGGCCCAGAGCCCAGTTGTGACGTGGCTGCTGGAGGAGGGTTGTCTCTCGGAGCCCTTGAACCCGTGGCCCTATGCCCCCTAAGCCTGGCCATTTTAAGCAGGGTGACGGATTCAGTCAGCCCAACTCTCCCAAGGCCACACCAAATCCCAGGGATTTGTGATTGGAAGAGACCTGGCTTTGAGGGCTCTTGGGGCACTCGGAGATAAAGGCCATTAGAGGGGTACCAGAAGCCACACCTGGAGTTTAGTGTACTGCCAAGGGAGGGCCAGTCTGGAGTTATTTTTACTAATAACCCAGTTTTACTAAAAAAGTTTTGTAAAAATCTATTGTAGCTGAGTGACACATTAAAACGTTAGTTTGGTTACATACTTTTAAAAAAATGGGATGTTTTTTTTTCCTGGTGCTCAGGCTTCAGTTAACAGTCGGGGAGAAGCCTTTCTAGAGGTGGCAGTGTTGTGCCCACTGTTTTTGTTCAGAACGGGAAGGGAGACGCGCTGCGGGAGCCTTTCCGCGTTGCCTGCTGCAGGACTGCGGTCCCGGGGGTCCGTGCCCTCCGCGCGGTGCTCGCAGCCGCATCCCGGGAGTGTGGGCGGGACTCGCGGGGGCGGGGCCGAGCACGGGCCGCTGGGGGCGCCCGGCACCGCCCCTCCTGGTCCGGCCAGCCTGAGCGCCCGCCTGGCGCGCGTCCGAATCTCCCGCCGACGCCCAGTCGTCCCCGAGGCGCGGCCAATCATCGTCCAAGAGACCTCGGCGGCCCGGCCGCCCCGATACCGGGGGCGGGGGGAGCCCTTCCCTCGGGCCCCTCATCAGTAAAGCCGAGGCGGTGTCGTGGCTGACACAGCGTCGCTCGTCCCCAAACCAGTGCTCTCCTGCCGGCCTGCCTAGGGCCTCGCGAACCCTCCCGACGCCCTGCTGACGGTCTCGCCCCGCCCCTAGCCAATGGCCTGCCGACGGTCTGTCATCCACCCCCCACGCCGGCCTGCCGATGGTATCCACTGCTCCCTATCGACTTCGGATGGTCTCGCTCATCCTTCCCACCCACCTTCACCTCCCTGCAGGCCTGCAGACGGTAGTGCCGTCCTGCCGATGGTCTTATCTATCCCCCCCGACGCCGTCCCGCCGATGGTCTCGCTCACAACGGCCCCCGACGCCGGCCTGCTGATGGTTTGTTGTCCACCCCCTCGTCGGCCTGCCGATGGTCTCGTCCATCCTTCCCATCCACGTTCACCGTCCTGCCGATGGTCTTATCTGTCCCGCTCACGCCGTCCCGCGGATGGTCTCGCCCACCCCTCCCCCCGGCCCGCGACGCCGGCCTGCTGATGGTCTGCGTTCCACCCCCACGTCGGCCTGCCGATGGTCTCGCCCTCTCCCCCCCGTCATTGGTCTCTTCCGGCGCGGCGCTGGAGCGCGGGGCGGGGCGGTGCCGGGGGCGGTTGGGCGCGCAGTCTGCACGGAGAGGACCGCTTCGGCCCGGGGACCCGCCGCGCTCGCCATGGACAGCCGGCCGCGAAGCCCCGCGGGTCGTGGGAGCCGCGATGCCGACGCCAGGTGAGGCCGTTCGCGCGCGCGGGGGGGAGGGCGGGGTCCGGGCAGCGGGGTATCGCGGCCGGGCCCGCCCTGACAGGCCTCTCTTCGCAGCTCGCCGCCCGCGCGCTGGAGCCTCGGCCGGAAGCGGAGAGCCGACGGGAGGCGCCGCCAGCCCGAGGATGCCGAGGGCCCAGCCGAGCGGGCGGGCGACCGCAGGCCCGACAGGTGGGCCGCGGGGCCGCCCCGGGACGTGGTTAGGGCGCCTGAGCCGCCCGCGCCGACTGCACCCCATCGGTCCGGGGTCCCGTTGTGTTCCGGGGGTGGCGGCCGGGCTCCCCGAGCTGTGTGGGTGGTTCCAGCACCGCCGGTCAGGCAGCCCCGGAGAGGACCGGTTCGGAGTGAGGGGCCGACCGCGTGGCAGGAGGTGCCCGCCAGGTGCGAGCCGAGCTCTGGGCGCCAGACGGGCCTCCCCCGAGCCGCGTACGCGGCCTTCTTGCTGCCAGGCTGTCCGGCCCGAGGCCGCGCGCCGCTCGGGAGCCCGTGGCTAGGGAGGCCCTCTCGGGTCGGGATGAGGCGGGGGCGGTGGAGGGTCCGTTCGGGCGGGCTTCCAAGGCCTGAGCCCTGCTACCTGCTGGCAGGGCGGAGGTGCAGCGGAGTCGGACGCGTGGCGCCCGTGACGGCGTTTGCTTGGCCGGGGAGGGCGGGCGTGGAGCAGCAGACCCGGCATGGGGGGCAGTTGGGGGTTGGGCTTGGAAGCTGCTTTGCTGAGCAGATGCCCGAAGGCCATGGCATCCGGGAGCCGGGGTGAGGCTGCCCATCCTGGGGACTTGCAGATTTGGGGTACGAGGGGGAGAGGTAGGATGGAGAGAGTGGGAGAGGCCCCGCAGAGAAGACAGGCGTGTGTTGTCGCTGAGCTGAGCTGACGGGAGCGTTAAACCCTTCCAGCCCCTTCAAAGCCCTTTGTGGCTTGGCACCCTAGCTCACCAGCCGGCTGTGTACACCGTTCCTGCTCTAGCAGGGCAGGAGCCCTCTTTTCCTGGGCCCTGGGCACCTGCCCTTGCTTTGTGCACAGTCCCGTGTGGTGACGAGGGGATGCATCCGGCCATTGAGGGCGGCTGGGCTTCAGAAGGCCTCGTTTTCCATTTGGGCATTTGCCCAGTATTCTTGTCCTGGGGTAGGGTGAGCTGGTGAATGGGATCTGCGTGATTCAGGGAACGAGTTTCTGTTCCACAACGGGATTCTCCCTCAACCTACCAGAATATGTTTGGTAGGGCAAGGTCGTTCCTGAGCACTTTTTAAAGTTAGGAGTTGATCATGGCCCAGGTCGTTCCTGAGCACTTTTTAAAGTTAGGAGTTGATCATGGCCCAGGAGACTCAGACCTGAACCTCTCTGTAAACTAGTGAGGGTGGTGTTGCCCAACTTTGGACAAGCCTCCATTTGCTCCTTTGACACAGGTTTTGAGTCAACTCAACTTTTGGTCATCAATTTAAGACCCTGCCAACCATTTTTAGACTCTGGAAATGAACTCTTAGAAATCCAGTTTTAGTTCCTCTGGGTGAAGTAAGTAGAAGGGAAGAAATTCTAATTATATGAAGGAATTATCTACTTTATATAATGTCACAGTTGCATTTTCAAAGTTTGCTATAATGTTTCAGTTGCATTTTCAAAATTTGCCATTGGTTTGCAGCTATGACACGGTAAGGTTGCTTGTAGCTGCAGTTGAAGTTAGTGTAGTTCTGATAGAACAATACTGGCCAATAGAAAATGGAGGAATAATAAAAATGTAAGTTTATATCTAATCAGTGAAAAACAGACACACCAGCAATTCTAACTGCCAGAATTCTTGGCCTGAAGCCTTAGGTTTTCAAATTGCCGGATCCTGACTAAAAACTTCCTCAAGCTCTGGATATTACTGAGCTACTAGATCAAATCTAACCCAGCTCTAGGGGCTACCTTTTCCAGTAGACTAATCCTAATGCAGCAAGGACCCCAGTTTTAGTTACGATATAATACATTCTTCTGAATCCTTGATTATGTGCATCTAAAAGTAAGTGGTCACTATTTACTAGGCACTTTTATGTGCCCGGCACAAAGCGTGTGTTAATCTTTAAACTCCTGAAAGAACAACTCCTCATTTTGCAAATAAAAGAACACGTTGTATCAGATGCCCTTCAGGTGTTGAGGCCCTGCTGACTTTGTCTTCCTCCCACTGGTGGGCTGTGGATTTAGCCAACATAGGCTCATGCTGGGTGCACAGTTTAGCAAACGGAGCCCGGAGCAGCTTTTAGCCCTTGCACAGACTTAGTGAGCTGGTAGGTCAGAGAGCAGAGGTCATGTGGAGCCCATTCCTTCAGCACTCTCCAGGCCCAGCCCTGGACGTTTCCGGAGGTGTGCTCTGCAGGCATTGTAGTAGTCCCAATGTGCCTTTGTGCTTCATTCCAGCTTCACCACTCCTGAAGGCCCCCAGCCCCATACTAGATGTTCAGACTGGGCAAGTGCGGTTGAAGAAGACGAAATGAGGACCAGAGTTAACAAAGAAATTGCAAGGTATTCAATGTCATCGGTGGTGTTGTAATGACATGTTACATATGTGTGTAACTTACATGTGTAATTACATGTGGATGTGATGTAGGTGTATGGTCTAAACCATGTAGCTTTACATGTGTATTAAATTGGAAGCATGTTTTAGAGTGGAGGGTCTTCAAAGTCTGGTCACTGTACTGGCAACTTGGCCCAGCCATGTCTTCAGAAACCCTCCAGGTAAGTCTGCTCACTGGCGTTTGAGGACTATTGCCTTAGTGGCTGTCCTTCTGAGATGGCAGCAGGTAGGAGGTGGCACTGCTGGCCTGCAGGGGACTTCCATGATATTCCCTGACCTACCACCTGTGCACTGCCACACCAGCGAATCATGGAGGTGCCCCTTGCAGATTTGGAGCGCGCTTTTGACTGACAACTGGCTCATGTAATGCTCAGAAAGGACAGAACACAGGGAGGGGCCCCTAACGTATCGTCTGTGAGCCCCTTGCATTTGTACCCAAGTCCTTGTAAATCCAAGCCATTTCCTCGCAATGATGCATCCTTACCACCTCCCTTGATTATCCTCTCACTAATATTTTTGGGCCTTTCTCCCCTTTGATAGAGTCATCCAGCCCAGCTGAATGAACTTTGAGTTAAAACATGGCTCGTAATTGGCCGAGCATGTTGGTTCAGGATTCTGATGAGAAAAACGTGCCTTCAGTGTTGGCCAGGAAGAAGGGCAGCCTCCTGCTCCACCTCTGCAGTGCTTTGTGGCCCTCCTTTCTGCTGCCTCTGGAAAGGCACAGGCCACGTGCAGGTCGGCTGACTGTGCAAGGGGCCCTGCGTTTCTTCTGGGTGTCAGTGTGCGTGTGTGTGGTTCGAAAAAGTGCATGGGAGTCCACAGACATGGACTCCAGTGTTTTGAGTGAGTTGTTTTATTTGTATTTGTATGGATTTTGATTTTCTCAACTGTTGAGTTAGGGTGTTTGACTTTGTCTCTGCAGTTTCTGTGTTTTGTTCACAAGACTTTAACAACTCTTGTGAAATACCCGTGTGTCCTGGCCCCGCTCTTTCCTTTGCCAGGGACTGTCTGCAGCACTGAGGTCATGCAGGGAGACCCCTGACTATCAGTGGAGTCCTCTGTTCCTCAGTTGTCTTCTCAGGTCTGTCTCTGAAAAATTGTCCTACTTTGCAGATCAGACCTGCTCTGTTTGAGGCCTTCTGTTAACACCCTTCCTGATGGAAAGCCACTGCTTTCAGTAAAAAGTTGACTTGCTGATGATAGCAGTCTGTGTTACTCCCCACCAGGAAGGGTCCCTGTGCCTTGTGGGGGATTACACGCACCGCATGCCAGCCATCTGAGAATTTGAAGATGGGTGTTGGCCATACCTGAGCTTGGTTGTTTTCAACTGGGGCCCAGAAAGAATGAAACCCTACAGATAGGCGTGAGGGCCCAGCTTCTTTATTCTCATGGGGTGACACACAGCACCTTTCTAGGCTCATGGGATAAACTAGTCATTGCCTTCTGGTGTCCAGACTGCACTGGGAAGCCTCAGCAAACTTCAGGCGGGGTGGGAGTTAAGTTTTGGAAGGAGATACAGTGTTCATGCCATGGTGTAGGTGCTCGCGTGGACCTGCAGCTGGATGCCCATGGTCTGGGGGCCACGGTGCACCCTGCTCCTTAGGTGACCTGCTTGCAGAGATGCTCGCACAGCTGCTGTGACAGAAAGCAGATACCTCCTGAAACCAGGAACAGGGTGGTGTGATGGTGATCCCTCTCTCTGGTCAGGGGAAGGCGAGCAGAGCCTAGCAGGCACACATCCCCTTGGTAGGAAATTGTGTATTATAAAACTTTTATTTCAAGTTGTATTTGTTTTTTCAAAAGGCCGTAGGGCTTTGGGGATGCAGGTTTCTGTGCTGTTTGGATTTCACTTACCTGAAGTTGTTGGGTGTTTCTTTTGGCCTAGAGAAGTGGGGCCTGAGGGCATTGGGGCGTTGCCAGGTGCCTTCTAGCCTTTCATGTGACCTTGGCAAGTAACCATGATTTTCCTACTAGAGAAGGCAGTTGAGGGAGGTTGAAAATAAAGTAAACACTGTTGTTCTGACCCAGTCTTGCCACTCAGGCAGAAGTCCTTGTTCCTGGCAGCTCTTTTAGCTCAAAGTATCGTGTAAGTTAATTTCTATACCTTTTAAAAAGCAACATTTATTTTGCCCCCAGATATAAAAGGAAACTCCTCATAAATGACTTTGGAAGAGAGAGAAAAGCATCATCTGGAAGGTAAGTGCTGTGTGAATGTTTCCCAGTTCCATAGACCTGAAACCCGCCCCTGAAGAGTTGATGTGAGGCGCGATTGTCTTGGCAGCACTTGCTGGCCATTGGCTCTTCCTGATGTGAAGTGCTGTCTCGTGCACTAAACTCCCATATGTATGAGACTTTGCACTGCTGTGGGGTCACTGTCGTTTGGAATCCAGGGGGCAAATGCACCATTATTTGTTGCATCGTGGTCTTAACTGTGAGGCGAGTCATGTTACAGATTCCATCTTTCTCAGTTCTGACTCGAGGGAGTCTGCGTCTGCCGTGCCAGCCGACCTGGAGACTGATGAGAGCGTCCTGATGAGACGGCAGAAGCAGATCAACTATGGGAAGAACACCATTGCCTATGACCGCTACACCAGGGAGGTCCCGAGACATCTTCGACAACCTGGCATTCATCCCAAGACACCCAACAAATTCAAGAAGTACAGTCGGCGATCGTGGGACCAGCAGATCAAGCTCTGGAAGGTGGCTCTGCACTTCTGGGATCCTCCAGCTGAAGAAGGATGTGACTTGCAAGAAATGTATGTCTTTGTTGCATCTTTGTCCTCTGTCTCTGTGGTCCGTGCAGTAACTGAAACAGCTCCCTTGCTTGAGTGGCAGGTTATTAGATGGGCCAGCAGTGCCAGCAGTGGTATTAGTCCCCTGGAAGGTCCAAGGGGGCAGAGCAGCCAGTTGTCATAGCTTCATGTATGTTCTCTGTACACGAGTGTGTAAAGCTGGGTGGGTGGGCTTGGGGATGCTGGAGGGAGGGACATACTTCCTGGATTGTAGCTAGAGAAAACAGCTTAGTAAATCTAGAAATACATGGGTTTTGTTTGTTTTTTAGATAGATTCTAACAAGTGTTTGAGTACGTTATATTGGACTATGAATGTATCTCAAGGGCTTGTATCTT